ACCAAGTGCGCTTGGAGCTTGTTCTGTTTCCTGGAATCTATTACTGAAACTGTTACAACTTGTTCTCTAATACTAGTTTATGGCGTCTTAGTAAGCGAGTTATGCGATCATGAAACAAACTGAAGCAAGTTTCGTGGGGGTCGTTCTTTCAGTATATCGCGCATCTAGTAAGTTTTCCCTAAATTTACTTTTAACTGTCTAATAACTGACTTCTAATGGAGCCTCCTAAATCTTCTTCCAATGCGGAAAGTCGATACTATTCAAGTCCTTGATACCCACCCGCTAGAGGCAACCTGTACGCTCGTATCCTCTATACATACACACTGAGCTGAATGGCGAGATATACGCTTCCCTAAGAAACTCGAACTTCTCTCTCGGTCGTTTAGGGTTTTGTTACAGAAGTATTCACAATTCAAACACTATAATCGTGATTATAAATATGTAGAGTCCAGCGCGGTCAAGGAGGATATCCTATAAGATCCTTCACATTCACAACCATCGTCTGTAAGAATTCCCCTCTCATAGAAGTCTCCTGTGTGTGTACATTGATCGCTGTTATTCAATACGTACCCTTATATTCCAAAGTAGAATGCCAGTGTTATACAGGGTGTTCCTTATTGATATGCGAATATTTAAGGGTGTGAATCTACATAAAAAATTAATGTTAGTTTTCTTTATATAATATGGTCCAAAAATGTTTCCTTACAAAAACTGAAACTAGCTCTGTCCGAAAAGGAACATCTGTAGGTAGACCTCTAAGTGTGAGAACATCTGAAATTGAGGAAGCAGTGCTGCACGAAGCCGATGAACGTCCTGAAACGAGTACGAGGAAAATCGCTTAGACACTTAAATATTTGAATCAATGACTCTGTTCACGGATGAAGAATATTTTTCTAGAAATGCCATTCAGAATTTCCACAATAATCATTTGTGGACAGAAGAAAATCCCTATGCCGTAACTGAAACCCATTTCCAACACCAATTTTCGGTTTAACGTATGGGCAGGAATTGGCAACCACTTTATTGGCCCATTCTTCTTGCCGGGACGACTTGACGGACAGACTTACCTCAATTTTCTTCAACAACAGTTGCCTTTGCTGCTTGATGATGTTCCGTTAGTAATAAGAAACTACATGTGGTACATGCATAATGGTGCACTAGCGCATTTCAGTGTAGCGGTTCGTAATTATTTACAAACTGTTTATCCAAATCGTTGGATTTGCCGCGGTGAGCCCCAAGAATGACCACCAAGGTCCCAGACCTCAACAGTTTAGATTTATTTTTGTGGGGTATCTTAAGACACTAGTGTACACAAGTCCCATTAACACTGTAGAAGAATTAAGAGAAAGAATTGTTGCAGCTTGTGATAGAATAAAAGACACTCCAGGGATATTTCAACGAGTGAGCAATGCCATGAGAAGGAGTTTTTAGTGTTATGATTATGTTGTCAGTTGTTGTTGTTCATTACCTCTAATGTGTTTCATTTTTCCAATTATATTAATAATAACTTTGCAAGTTAGATAATAGAACGGTTTTTATTTTTTTACTCAAAAATGGCGCATCAAAGGAAAACAGTTCAATAGAGGTCACTTGTTTTAAATTGAACGAGAAATTCAAAAATAATTTTTATTTGGCAAAAAGCATTGGCGTACCATTTTTTTCTTAAAAAATATTGACGGCAATACCCGTATGCACGCCACTGTTAAAGTTAAAAATTATTTTTGCATTGTAAAACTTCAACACCCCGACTGTTTGTAAGGAAACATTTTGAAATATTGAATTATGGACATCCAGTGCTAACAGCAATACGTACAAAATTTGTCGTACCTGAGGAAAATTATTTTCTACGACACCGCCTTTTTTGAAATAATTATTGCTTTTTAATAAGGTATTCAGTTCTGGATAGGTCGCCTTACTTGAGAATTGTTGTCACTCTTGATATTTTTGTACTTATAATGTCATAATTAAAAAAATATAAGGAAATTGCATAGTGATACACATTGCACTTAACACTGAAAGTTTTTTGTTGGCAGCATCTGTAAGAGAGGTTTGTGGATTGTCATTAAAGTAAATCTTTTTCGGGTTTCGGTTACGGCATAGGGATTTTCCTCTGTCCACAAATGATTATTGTGGAAATTTTGAATGGCATTTCGAGAAAAATTAGCTTCGTCCTTGAAGAGAATCATTGATTCAAATTGCGGATTTTGTGTAATTTTTAGAGGATACCACTGACAAAAGGTCACACGCCTTGGAAAATCAATGGGAAGTAATGCATGTACTGTTAAAATATGGTAAGGATATAACAAAAGATCCACTAAAATTGTCCAAACAATTTGAAGGCAAATATTTAAGTGTCTAGCGATCTTCCTCGTACTCATTTCAGGATGTTCTCGGACTTCGTGCAGCTCTGCTTCCTCAATTTCAGGTGTTCTCACACTTAGAGGTCTACCTTCAGCTGTTCCTTTTCGGACAGAACCAGTTTCAACAAGACGACGATGAATATTAGAAAAGGTTCTACTATCTGGCAAAGCACGATCGGGATATCTCTGGTGATAAATTCGTCTGGCTTGCTCATCATTACCGTCGCCAAGGCCATATACGTAATGCATTTCCACCATTTCTGTATTTGAATAATACATTATTAACAAGATTGTAAAAACTAAATAATGAAAAAGATGTCACAGCAAACAGACTTGAATATCATAGACTTGTCAGATGTCAAAAGCCAGTGACATATTCCAGAGCAACTAGATATTTATTGCTAAATTGCATTCTTCAAATATTACATTAATTTTCTCGGACAATAGAACGGTTTTAATTTTTTTGCTCAAAAATGGCGCATCGAAGGAAAACAATTCGAAGAGATGGAAAAACAGGGAAACCATTGGCGTACCATTTTTTTCTTAAAAAATATCAATACCCCTACACACGCCACTGTTAAAGCTAAACATTATTTTTGCATTGAAAAATATGCAACTTTATTAACTTTCACTACGTACTAAGTATCAGTGAAATATCTGAAGCGGTTCTGAAAATATTTGTTTTCCTTCAACACCCAGAGTTTTTGTAAGGAAACATTTTTGGACCATAGGAACTTTTTTTGTTATTTTTCAATGGGCATTTGACTATAGTAAAAACTTACAACATTTTCCTGAATATTTTTTCAAATGCAAACACACAAATTTCACGCTTATTGGCAAACATCAACACGGTCCAGGTGGGACAGCAAACGTAAGAAGAGCGTCTATCTATAAGTTGATAGAATACGACAACAAGTGTCATCTACTGCTACTTTTTACTGTTGCAGCTATCTTTATAGGCGTCTGACTGCACTTTAGGCAACTGCCACCAGATTCACCTGACCTTGGTTCTGTTTAAGGTATCTTTCATGAGTAGTAAGAAGCTTTTGGTAAATCTCTACCTCCAGTCACTGATGTGAACCACAAGGTGTCTTTTGATACATTGAACTGTGACACCATTTATTCAAGTATTTTCTTGAGCTTTCCTACACTACTTCTGAACGTGTGATACGCTTATCTCTCAGGCTATACCCACAAATTCCGCATCGAGTGCTGTAAATCTACCCACAGCTCGATATTGTAATATTTGTTCCTGATTCGTGAATCCACTGCTGTTCGTTTACGGTAGAGCGAGACTTTCGCGCACGTGACCCGAATAAACGTAGCTAAAGCATGGGTGCCGGTTTTAAAACGATTGGATAGGTCAGGATAGTCCATCTCATCGAGTAGATAGTGCATATTTTATTTCCATCTACTTATAATCAAGATATAGGAGCTCGAGTTTTATCTTGTGGTCAAGTAGAGTATAATTTGTTCTACAAATCCATAGTAAAACACAAACCAATAAATCGTAATATTTGAGGGCAAACATAGATTTCTGAAGCGAACCAGTGATGGGCGCATTGTATAATAAACCATTGTATACGCGTATACATTGATGAATATATACGTCTCGATATTCACGTATATAATACTCTACGGAATATGTCTTCCCATTTTTAAACATAATGAACCCTAGTTCATCAATTTCTTTGTTCTTGGGGCGTCCAACTATGTTTTTCTAAAGTTGCCGCTTCACCGTTCACGAACTTTCTGACGTTTGCGAATAAACCTAACCTCACTTATGCTATTCTATACATTGTCTTCATCATTCTATGAATAGACCTAACCGCATTTATGCTAATATATACGTTGTCTTCATCATTGTATACATTCTATTCATTGTATATCCATTGTATACATCGGGACGTAGACAATTAAATGTATACGCGTAAACGTCCATCACAGAAGCGAACCTTAATGGACATGTTGATGTTATTGTTAAAAATATCACCTTCTCTGGTTTATCTCTCTCAGGTAGCTTCTGCATTGATATTTGCATTAAAATGCTCCCTAATTGCTATCATATTATATCATTATTCTTCTGAGTATCACCACTAACAATACGTGTTTTACTAGCTCCGTTATAGCTTCTAAGATCGGTAGTGAGACTCAATTGAAAATTTGTTTGCGAGTATCATAGTTACGCTCACGTAATTACTGAGCATTGGGCAAGTTTTTCTAGATCATCTTTAATAGTTTAACACAGTTTTTTTTGGTAATAAAAGAAAGCTAACCTCTACAATCTCTGGTGGAATTTCTGGAATTTTCATTGAAACAAAGTGGAAATAGTTTTCCAGTGGCGTACTTGTGTTGATTTAGAAAACAAACATTTGCACACAAAATTCATAATTATGCCAGCTAGAGTCCCTTGCAGCTGCTGTAATCAACAGTGTGAGCCTCATCAAGCATTCCTGTGTGGAAATCAGCGCAAATGAGGTTCGTTCTTTAAATTCGAGCAAGGGGTACGATTGGACCTGTAAGGACTGCATATCCATAGGTAAAGACATTAATGACTTGAAGGCATTAATCATCGATTTGCGTAATCAAATAAAGGATTTGAAAACTGATAACACCAAAAATGCAGATTCAAGTTTTTCCATGGAAGACATCATATCTGAGATTTCAGAGCGTGAAAGACGTAGAAACAACGTAATAGTCTTTAATGTCACTGAGCCTGATCAAAAAGCCAGAAGTGAGCAAAATGAATCTGATAAAACAGTTGTCGTCAACTTGTTACGTGAAGCTGTCCCTGACGTGAGGCTAACCAACATAAAAGTGATGAGATTAGGAATGTTTTGCGGCACAAAAGTTAGACCCATCAAGGTAATACTTGACATCTATGACTCAGCATTGCAGGTTCTGGTGAATGCGAAAAAGCTTAAATCAAGTAATACCTTCAAGCATGTAAACATCGTACAGGATCGCACCAAAAGGCAAATGGAGCATTATAAAAGTATCAGAACTGAGTTAGCCAGGCGTCATGAAGCAGGAGATAATAACTGTAGGATCAAGTTCATCAACAATGTACCAAGGATTGTTCCTTTAAACTAGGTCGGCCCAATAGTGGATGTAGTGATTTTTTGACAGTGCACTATCAGAATGTTAGAGGGCTAAACAGCAAAATTAACAAATTCTATCCTGCTGTGAGTGACTGTGAGTATAATGTATTTGCTTTAAGCGAAACGTGGCTAAAGCCCGAAGTAAACTCTCTCGAATTATTTCCCAATTCTTTTGACGTTCATCGTAAGGACAGAAAACATAATCAATTGAACCTGTCAATGGGTGGTGGTGTACTACTGGCATTTGAAGCGGCTCTTAACTCTGTTGTAGTAGATACTACGCAGTTTGGTACAAGTTTCCCAGAAATAGATTTTTTTGTATGCAAATGCATTGTATCTCATCAGAATCTTTATTTCGCTGTCATATATGCTGCACCACTTGTTTCTGTTGATACATTTGAAGCTTTTTTTGAAATGTTAGAAAACTGGGAAATCATGCATTCCAAACGTGTTGTCTTTCTGGGTGATTTCAATTCTCCAAACTTTGTGGAAAATAATTTAAATGACGCAAAGACCCGCTACATTGTTAATTGGCTCAACTTCTGGAACATGAAACAGTATAATAATATTCATAACCAATATGATAGAATCCTGGACTTAGTAATAAGTAACATTAATTGTATTGTTTATAGAGATTTAGCTCCATTAGTGGATGAGGACGTGTATCTTCCTTCTTTGTCCGTAACATTAAACACTGTCTGTAAAAAGAGTGAATACGTCACAGTCAGTACTGACCAAAAAAGATATAATTTTAGACGTGCTACCTTTTTTCGCTGTACAATTCTTTGTTATTGGTTAATTGGGATTTCTTGGATAACACTAGTGACACAAATGATGCAATTAATGCATTTTATACCAAACTTTACGAATTATTCGATGCACACGCTCCACAATATAAAAATTTCAGGCATAAATATCCCTCTTGGTACACCAGTGAAATTATAAAACTAGTAAAACAAAAAGACAAAGCGCACAAAAAATTTAAAAGGTCTGGTGCTAACGAAGATTACCAAGAATTCAGCAGAATCAGGAAAATATTAAAGCTTAAAACCAAAGAGGCATATAATATCTATCTTCAAACCATTCAAAATCAGCTAAATGATGACCCTAAGTCTTTCTGGTCTTTCGTACATAGTAAAAACAACACTTCTAGGATTCCGAATAGAATGTTGTATGGAAACGAGTCATTTGGTGATCCGCAAAGTATAGTCAACGCCTTCGCTGATTTTTTCTCCAGCGTTTACTCAACTGCTAAAGTCGATACTGAGTTGAACTTTGATTTCAGTCATAGTGGACTCGTAGACATTAGTTGTGAGCCAATATCAGATGAGGAAATTTTAGTGGCCTGTAGAAAGTAAAAGTGTAAAAGTAAATTGACTGCTGGACCTGATCAAATCCCATCTTTTATTGTTAGAGATTGTATCAGGAAATTAGTTCATCCTTTACGGGTTATCTTCAATTTAATCCTAACAACGACTGTTTTCCCCGATAAATGGAAAATTGACAAAGTTTGCCAAATTCCAAAGTCAAGAAATTATCACTGTATCAGTGAATATAGGGCTATATCTATACTCAATAATTTTGCAAAACTCTTGGAGATCGTACTGTACAACCGCATTTACCTGTCCACTAAAAATAATATTTCCATCGACCAACATGGTTTTATAAGGCAGCGTTCAACACTAACAAACTTAATGGTATTTAGCCAATACTTGTGCGAAAGATTAGACAATAGAGGACAGATAGATGTGGTGTACACCGATTTCTCCAAGGCCTTCGATAGGGTCAGCCACAGTATCTTGCTCCGAAAGCTTGAGTACCTGGACTTCAACAACATTTACTTAGCGCTCTTAACATCATATCTGTTTGAAAGGAAACAGTATGTTTTTTATAATGGCTACATATCACATGTTTATGTCTCAACCAGTGGCGTACCACAGGGTTCGAATTTAGGACCACTGTTGTTCATATTGTTTGTGAATGATCTGTGTGAATCTTTGGCTTGTTCTAAGTTAATGTTTGCAGACGACCTAAAATTTTATTCATCCGTTTCGTGCTTGGAAGACTGTGCATTTGTTCAAGGTCAAATAAATAAATTGCAAAGCTGGTGTGCCAAGAATCAACTTCATCTTAATATAAGTAAGTGTAAAGTAGTAACTTTTTCAAGGAAAACCAACCCAATGGTATATTATTATACAATGATCCAACATGTTCTTGAGCGCAGTGAAACTGTGAAAGACTTAGGTATCTACTTTGATCAACATCTAACCTTTAATGAGCATATCAATCAAATCATATCAAGTGCTTACCGAACCTATGGCTTCGTTATCAGGAATTGTAAATCTTTTGACGTTTTGACTTTGCAGACATTATACTTTAGCTTGGTTAGGTCTAAGCTTGAATATGGATCTATGATATGAGTCCGATTTACAAGCAGTATATTGATGTTGTTGATAAACTTCAAAAGAAATTTTTAAAATTTTTATGTTTTAAGATCGATGGCATATATCCTACTAGAGGTACAGGATACAACATCCTTCTTCATAAATTTGGCATTCAATCCTTAGAACAACGGCGTCAGCAATCAGCAGTTATAGTTTTATATAAATTACTGCATAATCTAATAGACTGCCCTACAATACTTTCACAAATACAGTTTCTGGTACCACGACTAACATCAAGGTATAATGTTCCTTTTTTATGTCAAAGAGCTCAAACAAACTTATTGTCGAAAGCGCCTGTCAACATGATGTGTGTGAATGCGAATAAAATAGCCGATGTATGTGACATATTCTTATATAGCATAGGTGAATTGAAGTGCAAATTGCGTGCTCACTTTTGATTTATCTTACGTTTCTTATTTTTAAGCTGTAACTATATTTATTTTTTGTTATTGATACATGAATTATTATTGTTTTTTTTTTTAACAAGCTACCTCATGGTGATTTTTTTTATAGTAGTTTGCTCTGTAAATGGTGTTAAACTGTTGGGCAATAAACGCTTATTATTATTATTATTATTATTATTACCATATAAGGTATTGTTTCCGATTTGTTCAATGCATGAAGTAGAGTCCAAATCCTACTTTTCGATTGTTGGGGGATATGCCGTAGTAGCAAAGCTTGTGTCCGGGCTCAAACGTAAAAATACGTTTTTGTAACAAAACTGGGTAGCTTATGAAGTATTTATTGATTTAATGTGGGAGTTAGGGGCCCATCTTATGCGAAACATATAATTTTTCTCTGGTTTGAGAGGTATTTCACAAAAAATCGTTTGTCCAAAACTCTGAAGCCGGCCCTGGACATAGTGACTAAACCAATGAATTAATTAGCTTGCGCAGACTGCCATAAAACTGTTTTACGTTATGATATCCAGATAGAGATCTCTCGGGTGCTTTTCCTTGGATAATAAACCCAACAACGTCAACTATTCCGTACGCAGTGCTGATAGCGCGCGTTACTTTAGAATTTTCCAAATTTTTACGCGCGGCATGAAATTCGTACTTCATTCCAGCATTCCATTCCGCCACTATAAAATAGCGTGGAGATATTTACTCGCGACTGCATAAAATTGCTACAAAGTAGCTCGTCGCTCGTCGGGATTAACACCGCTGACTTTCATTGCAGTTCTGTTTGGAATGAGCGCTGGATGAGCATACTCGGAATTGGACTCTGTTATGCAACAAGAAAACAGAGAGCGGCATGGAGATAAGCAAATAAACTTTGTATCACTTTCAACGCGTAAAAGTAAAAATCTCGAAATGAGCACACTTCAGGAGAACCAACAGTTTAAGTAAGGGTAATGGTTTATATTTTCTGCTTATAGCCTGAAATTTCCCACAATTCAGAAAGAAAACATAGCCTGACAATAGGAAAGCGCTGACGCTGAAACGAAATAGTAAAAATCAAGAAATATCCCAACCTTTCTGAAGGAGAGGAATGACTATGAAAATCAAAGAGGCCATAAAGGCGTCCTAAAATTATAAGCAGGTGTTGTCACTTAGCTAGGAATCACTAGAGAGCAGCACATTTTCCAAAAAAGAAGCGTATAGTTTTCTTCAATTCCTGTAACTGACATTGTTAGATATTTCCTAAAATAACGAATGTATCGACCGACTATACACAAGAAACTCAGGCACAATATTTGTTGTAACGGAAATATCAGTTCTTCTGTCCAAAGTCCGATTTATTACTTTTACACTAATTCCTGACAATTTATAAAAATTTTGACTGGGACTAACTGCTTCCGCCATCTGCTCGGATATTTATCTCCCTGTCAACGCGTTGAGAAATGTTTAGGCGTTCTCCAAGGCAAGTCGTGAACTTCCATGGAAGATAGCAGCAGGTGCCTGGAGATGGATTTCTATTATTCTTCAATCTCGGCCTAACTTTTTTAAAGAGCGCTGCTCATACACGGTCGTTTAACTGGTTGCCTAAGCGTCGACTCTGCAAGGTGACTCCTCGCCGCTCAAGGTCCCATGTATACGAGCGTGTTACACTATGTTTCCAAATATTGTGATTGAGCTAACATTTCCTTTCAACCCCTTGAGGCGTACACATCTTCAGGAATGTCCAACTCTAGCCAAAAATCATTGAGCCGTTCAACTACCGCTTGCCGAATGTTAGTTGAGCGGTTCAATAACAACAATACCAGACACCTTTCATCTTGCGATGTGAGACTCAGTATGAACTACAGTAAGGATTGGTTTTGCTGACTTTTATCAAATAATGATGCGTTTCAGCTGTTCACTCATCGGAAGCGAAGAATGCTGTCATAATTCATTTTTATTTCGATGCAGTGTATAATTCAAAAATAATAACAGATTCAGATTCCGTTTACTTACGTCATTTCACCAAACTATTGAATACTATTGGATCCAAAGGTGTCGTTTGACATATTCTCTAAATTTAAAAACCTACAATTTAATTCTTGTATATATTAAATTCTAACTTATTTTTTACACCGAAAATGTGACGCGCGGGAAATTTTCAA